CATAGCATGTGGGATCTTCCTGGACCAGGGATCAAACCTGTGTCCCCTTCATTGGTAGGCGAATTCTTAACCACTGAACCACCAGGGAAGTCCTTAAATTACTCTTTGATTCTTGTTTTAGGTCTTTATCCCACTGAAAAGTGACTTAAATTTACAACAGAAAGAACCTAAATGAATTGTGACTGATCCAAACAGTTACTAATATTCACGTTGAAAATCATTCAGTAGTTGACCACATACATCTACATGTATCTTGACTCTCTCTCTGTGACTGTTATATTAGTTGATCTCCATAGAAAGGAATCTTCTTTATTCATGAAGTCAATTTGGGCTTTACAGTAGAATAAGGGAGCCTGTACCCCACATGAGTTCTTCTGCTGTGATGTAATCCCTCTCCAGAGTGCTGGGAGAGCATTTTTGTTGCTTGATAATATTGCTATTGGCAAGCCCATTACTGCTATATAATAACATTGCTGAAATAATGCTGTTAGCTTCTTGATTTCTTAAATTGAGTGTAGAATTTAGAGTCATACATTAAGTTATTGTTTAAATAAGAATTGTATCTGGTGTTGGTACACCTAGTGAAAAAGTAATGTGTCATCTCACTTATCAAACTGGCGAATGTTTTTATTTTGTTGAGATAAAATTGAACATAAAACTGCATGTACGTGTCTAGTTTGATCAGAGTTGACGTACGGCTGTTTTTACTGCATTTCTGACACTAATTGTGTGGGGATTCTTTTCCCCCATACCAACCAATTCTCCAACTTTCTGGACGCTAACAGAGCGTCCTGCAGTTTGGTTCCTTTGCTCCCTGGAATCAGCGCAGACCCCACAGATTAAAGGCTCAGGTTCACAAGATGCCCTGCTTTGCCAATCACAAGCCGCATATTCCCATATGTACTCCTGACCGAAATGGTGTAAATTTAGGGGGTTCCCACCACCCCCTTCTCCAGTTTGAAGACTTGCTAGAACAGCTCACATAACTCAGGAAGATACTATCATGGGTTTATTACAAAAGATTTAAAATGAAAGCCAGGGGAAGAGGTAGGTACACAGGGTGGGGTTCAAAAGGAGCTGGAGCACAGAAGCGTCTGTCCCAGTAAAGTTGGGAGACACGACCCAAACTCAAGACGCTTTTCAAACCTCCTCATTTAGGAGGTTTTTGGCAGTTCCATTACATAGGCATGATTGATTAAACCATTGGTCACAGATGAAAGTGAAAGTGAAGTTGCTCAGTCATGTCCAACTCTTTGCGACCCCATAGACTGTAGCCTGCTAGGCTCCTCTGTCCAGGGAATTCTCCAGGCAAGAATACTGGAGTGGGTTGCCATGCCTCCTCCAGGGATCGAACCTGAGTCTCCTGCATTGCAGACAAATCCTTACCACCTGAGCCACCAGGGAAGCCCTCAAATATGCAACCTCGCTCCCCTCCCCAGATATCAGTGGGTGAAGCTAAAAGTACCTTTTCCCCCTATTTTGATATTAGATATTATTATTTTAAAAAATCTTTGCCACTATCTACACTAACAGAGAACAGTGGCAAAGATTTTTTAATAATGATATCTACTACTGAAATAAGGAGAAACTTTCACATATTTGTATGGAGGTGTGAAATTGGCACAACTACTACCACTTGTACCAATTTAGAGCAGTTTGTTAGTGTAAAAAAAATAAAATGCATGTTCTTTGAACTAGCGGTTCTGCTTCTGAGTTAAGGAAATCAATTTTCATGTGAATAAGGCTGTAATTAGAAAAAATGTGTTTCCCTGTGTTTTTTTAAAAAAGAAATAAATTAGATGTCTAGCAATACAAAATTGTTTAAAGAAACAACTGATATAATGAAATTTTAAGCTTAAAATTGTTAATAAAAGCACATAGTTTTATAAATAACAGAAGGATCATGTTGTATTTCTGTCTTTTAATTTGTTTTTTTCAATTAACAAAAAGTATATAGGAAAAAAGAGTAAAAGTATTATTTTTAAAGCAAAATGTTAAAATTAATTTGCTCTGGCTAATGAGATTTATCTGTAACTTTTCCCCAATGCCTATGTTTTCTTTTTAAATTTTTTTGTTAAAAATTTTCCTGAATGTAAAGCTAACAAACGCAAAGGTATAAATTAAATCCATAAAGCGTGTGTGTATTAGTTACTCGGTCGTGTCCAGCTTTTTGTGACCCCATGGACTGTAGCCTGCCAGGCTCCTTTGTCCATGGGATTCTCCAGGCAAGAATGCTGACTGGATTGCCATTCCTTTCTCCAGAGGATCTTCCCAACCCAGGGATCAAACCCAGCTCTCCTGCATTGCACGCAGATTTTTCACCATTTGAGCTACAGGGAAGTCCTTTAAATCTGTAAAATAGGATGATATTTTATGCTATATAATTTATTTGTGTATTTATTCATTTGGCCATGCCATGCAGTATGTAGAACCTTAGTTTCCCAACCGGTTTCAAGCCTGTGCCTCCTGCAGTGGAAGTGTAGAGTCCTAACCACAGGAATGCCAGGGAAGTTCCATATATAAATTATTTATTAAAGCAACCCCTTTATGTTTTGGGCTTCTCTTGTGGCTCAGCTGGTAAAGAATCTGCCTGCAATGCTGGAGCCCTGTGTTCCATCCCTGAGTTGGGAAGATCCCTCAGAGAAGGGAATGGCTACCCACTCCAGCATTCTGACCTGGAGAATTCCATGGACTGTATAGTCCATGGGGTCACAAAGAGTTGGACACAATTGGGCAACTTTCACTCGCTGACTTTATGTTATAACACCATCAGGATGAAGTTCCCTGGAACTTGGCCCCTTCCAGCCTCCACTTTTCCGTGTTGCAGTCCCCATCTCCCCCTTCTTGCCCCAGTGCAGAGGTTCCCAGGTCTGCTAATCCCTGCGTCTGCCTCTCCCTGCCTTCAGTTCTCTCCCTCCCTGGCCCAGCTCTCCTCGTCACTTGGGATGTGCTGTCAGTACCACCTCTAGGAAGCCTTTCCTGAGCTCCCAGTGCTTCTCCCTTCTCATTCCCACTGCTCCCCAACCCGTCTCTGCAGAGGTACCTGCCACACCATGATATTTATCCCTTTCATTTTCCTCTCCTGAGAGACTGAGGGTGACTTGAGGTCAGGACACTGTTGGTTAGCACAGAGCCTAGAACCTAACAGTAGGAGGCTAACTGTTGTCTGTATGTGTGTGGGTGGGTGTGTGTGTGAGAGAGAAAGAGACTGAACAATAGAAATAAAGATGTGATGAGATCAGAGAAGCCAGAGTATGGCGAGAGGTGTGACTATATTTGCATGAGTGGAGCATGGGGTCTCCATAAAGATTTTAGTAGGATGGGGAGGTGAGGAGGAGCCAGAGCACTGAGGGCCTCGTTTGTCATCCTCAGGGATTCTGATTTGATGTTTAAGTGATGGAGAGTCAGTAAAGACTTTAAAGTAAGAGAATGTCTAGCCTTAGCATTCCCTAGGGTGTTAAGATGTTATTAATGTTACATGGGAAGCCTCGATATAACATGTATTTGGGAAATCCTGGCTTAAACCAAGTTAAATGGATTTCTCTTCTTCTGGACTTCTCAGAGTTTTTACTGTGCTAATGTGTATTTTTAATCCTCCTGAAGGGACAGTTGTGGGTGATATAATTTGCAAGATTTCCCCCATGTATTTATCATGGAACCCGTATATTTGGGGATTATGGTATAGACCCATTTTGGGAAGTGGACTCTGGGGAGAGCAGTAGTGTGGAGCTTTTAGTGATGGTTACAATAGCCCTGTCAGAAACACTGAGGGCCTGAATCAGGAGGGTCGTGGTGGGAAAGGGAGAAGCAGGACCAAGGGTCTAAGTTTTCTTTCTCAGACCATGTTCTCCAAAACTGGTGATTGATCAGTAATTTTAGAAGATCATGTCATGATTTGAGAGTCATTAATATCTGATCCAAAGATGTTAGAACAAGCGTGTGAAAAGTGGTTTGAAATATCTCTCAGACAAATGGAAGTCAAGGGAAATCTGTTTACAACTCTGCCAACTGATGACACAGCCCCAGGCTCACTCCACTTGATGTTAGAATCTGCATTTGGCCTGACTTGAGCTAATACACTTGATAAGCTGACAGGGCACATTCTAGACTGCACATGGTGGCTACTTGTTTGTGAGTGAGTCAAAGCTGGTTGCCAGGAGTCTAGGTTGGGCAGCTGAGCAGATGGATGGTGGTACATGTTGTTGTTTAGTCACTAGGTCGTGTCCAGCTCTTTTGTGACCCTGTGGACGGCAGCCCAGCAGGCTTCTCTGTTGATGGGCTTTCCCAGGCAAGAATACTGGAGTGAGCTGCCATTTCTTTCTCCAGGGAATCTTTCTGACCCAGGGATCAAACCCACATCGCCTGCATTGGCAGGCGAATTCTTTACTGCTGAGCCGCCAGGGCAGCCCTATCATGATGAGATAAGCAAATAGGAGACAGTTTGGAGGACAAAGATGCTTTGTCAGTTTTTAACATGTTCATGAGGTAGAGTTGACAGTGGGACATCCTTGTGGAGAGAGAAATACCAGCAGGCCATTGGATGTATGAGTTTTCTGCTCTGATAATTTGGACTGACCCAGCCATCATTTTACCTCTGTGTCTCAACTGCTGCATATGTTAGGGATTTCGTGTCTCTTTTATGAGATCATAAAATATTAAATTGCAGTCTGAAGACCCTGCACATTCCTAATCTTACCCCCATTGCACTTCTACATATCAGTATCCCATGTTCCTCCATAGCTTCTCCACCACATACGCTTTTTCTTGAAGTCACTTTTGTGATTTTTTTAAGCCAATGATTTTCAGGAATATTGAAACGTACATTTTTCGCCTCCAAAGAGGAGACTGCATTTGCCTTTGCAAGTATGGGGAAGACGGGTGCTTAACAGTGTTTTTCATTGCCTTGTTTCAAGTGAAATCCTTGAGTCACTAATGCTCTAACATGTTTCTGTTTCACTCATTTTAAGTGTAATAACAATGTTCCTTTATTTTACTTATAGCTCCAAAAGGAATTCTTCATTTGTCTCCTGATGTTTATCAAGAGATGGAAGCCAGCCGCCACAAAGTAATCTCTGGCACGACTCTAGGCTATTTGTCACCCAAAGATATGAACCAACCCTCGAGCTCTTTCTTCAGTATATCTCCCACATCGAGTAGTTCAGCTACAATTGCCAGGGAACTCCTTATGAACGGAACATCTTCTACAGCTGAAGCCATAGGTTTAAAAGGAAGTTCTCCTACTCCCCCTTGTTCTCCAGTACAACCTTCAAAACAGCTGGAATATTTAGCAAGGATTCAAGGCTTTCAGGTATGAATTAAAAGCAAAACCAAGAAAACAAAGCAATTCATTAGCCCCTAGTCCTCCATCTCTGTCCATCAGAAAGCTCATTCTTGCCTGCTAGTGTGACTTCTATGCCACTTACATTGTAAATCATTAGGAACACAGAGGACAGAAAAACGAGCCATGTGCACATGCCTCATTTTAAAGATTTTTCATTCTCTCCAGTAATTATTTTTTGCTGCCTGGCTCTCCTCCATTTTCTTTCTTCCTCCTCTATTTTTTTTTTTTTAAGACATTTTTCATCCTCTGTTCCGTCTTCTGATTGGTCTCAATTTGGCACATCTATTCCCTCCACTCTGTCTTCCCAAGTAAAGATCCTGCCTTCATACATTTGGTCTTAGTAAACACTAAGTGCTCCCTCAGTTTACAGTAAGGTTGAGTTTTTCTAATGCTGATTTTACTTTCATAGCAATTTTTTGAATTTGGCATTCTGTTGCTAGTAATGATTCAGAGATGCCACTAAGGTACAACATCCTAGAAGTCTGTTGTCTTAGGAGTTCATTAACCTTGGTGTTAGAACAGTAATAAATGCTTTCTAGCTGTTAGAGGCATAAAAACATGTATTGTTTTACTGGATTGTGTTTTGAACCATCTAGGGTAGCACCTACCTCAGATGGTACCAATAATTCTATTTCACTGGGCAGTCTACACCTAGCTTATAGGCCTCTTGTGTATAAGAATTTGGGGCTGGAAACTCTCTCCCTCCCCTATTTAGTCATTGTTCCCTTTTGGAAAAAAAAAAAAACAAAAACCAATAATCCTCTGTGGGTAGATCTTTTAAAAGAATTGTTAACTCTAGGAAGAGGAAATACCTGTGTTTTGACATCTTAGTTGCCTTGAAAATCCTGTACTGAACTGTAACCACTCGACTGGATGAACAGCGGCGGGCTTGTGTGTGGAAAGAACAGGCTGTCCCCGCAGAGTTCGCTATTTTCATGCCCCTTTCCATCTTAGTCTTATTCCCTAAGACCAAAAGCTGTAATTTCCTTTAGAAATGCTCTAGAAGGTCTGTATTGTCTAAAGTGATCATGTATTTATAAATTTTTTTTCAAATTTAGATATGAGAGAAGATCACATGGTTGAGGGGGTGGAATTTTTGCATGTTTTTTTTGGTTTGTTTGTTTCCCTTCACAGAAACCTGATTCTTTCCAATCTCTTGCCAGGTAGTGGTTAGTGTTTTTAATTAGATTATTAATGTGAAATCTAAACAGCTGTTAGCAGTTTTTGGCTCTGTCATCTGAAATTTTAATCATTTAATTTAAAAATTAAAATTTTAGGGTTTGTTTTTGTGGTTTACCTTAAGAATAATAATCACTGTTTAAAAGGACCTTGATTCACACAGTTAAAGTCCTGGAAAAAAAGAACTAAGCAATTTTTAGTTCTATCTGTAATGTACATAGGATGAACTAGAAATAAACTGTGATGGAAAGGAATTCACTGTTTATTTACAAATCTAGTTGTCTAAAAATGTCCGAAAGTAATACTACATTTGGATTTTTATAGAAACAAAGCACAAATTGATTCAGACTCTGAATTGATTTTTTTGCTTGGAGGAGTTATATGGTAGATGTTCATTTTGCTGCCAGAACTACTTAAATTTTTAAATTTGTATTTATTTGTTAATTCTTGGCAGTTACAGCAACTATAATTTTAAAATAGTTTTGCTTTAGTCAAAATGTAGAATCTGTTACTGCTATATTTGGGTTGACTACTCAGACCCTTTCTTTTTTTTCTTTAAATAAAGTTTATGCTGAGATAATACACACTTATTTATGGACAAGTTAGTAAACATTTCCAAATTGTGTATGGTGATTTTTACATACTAATGAATATAAGCAGATGGTTTGAAACATTACTGTGCTTCTTTGGTCAAATGAGCTTGGTGTTGATACGAAATATTGTGTTGCTGACAAGCTGCAGCCTGCAGCTGTGCGGTGAACAGACTGTGGGAAATGGCTCCATGCCCTGACAGGTGCCCAGCACATCCTCATAACGTCACAGTAGAAGAGTCTTTGTGGTTAAGAGTTTTAAAGCCTATTTCTTTATAGGTAACTTTCTCAGGTGTATTTACCTGCTAGAAAAACATGTAGATTGTTTCTATTTCTTAAATGTTTTAATTGGACCATAGTTTAGAAATGATAGGGCCAGCTTGTTACGGATTCCATGCTATTGTGTTATTTTTATTTCTGGAACTTAAAAACAATAAATTCTTTCTCTGTGTCTTAAGGTTAGTACTTTTAAAATTTTGTTATTGTACACTGAATAGATATTATTGCTTATAATTATTGCTTATTACTGTATAAACTCTTCTCTGGCCTTCTGTGCCCATTGACATTTGATTTAAGCCTTCCAGAGCCATTGTATGTGACAGCTATGTTGTATTAAAAGTAAAAAATATATTAGTGTACTGAAAGTATGTTGTTTTAACTTTAAAATTTTTTTCATTACCCACTCTTTAACTGAAATTTATGAGTGACAAAAAGCTTATTTGCTCACCATAATGAAAGTATTAAACTCACATCCTTTCCCTTAAGTCTATAAAACAGTTAAAATTATTATACAGTTAAAAGTTATTATTATTAATAAAACTGGCTCCGCAGGTCAGAAGATGACTGAACACTTGCATATTCTCAGTAATTCTTTTATCTTTGCTTGGGCTAACCTAAAGTCTTTAATCACATTTTAGATGCAAGCTTTTGGATTTCTATCATAAATGAATATTTATTTTTTTAAGTTTTATTGAGTATGGTTTTTAAAATTTTCTTTTAGAGCTTGAATGTTATTGACATTACTTTTTAGGAAAAAAAAGTTTTATATCAGTAGTTCTGCGATCCTGAAGCTTTGTCCAGCCCAGTTAGTATGCTTCTTTAACTTCTGTGCATTTCATGAAAATTCATTTGAAATACAGGTATACCTTAGTGTCCAGGGTTCCTTGGTGTGTACTTGATACTCCCTAATTATAATGCTGAAATGTTTCAAAATCAGTCAGTTTCTTAAAATCATTATGGAGGAGACATTTTTGAAATTCTCATCAGCTTTTGAGCTGAAGTAGATTTTGTTTCATTGTGTTATAATTTACATTATTGTGAGTTTTTGCATCATAAATATGTTTTCCATACTAATTATATTAGAAATCTCTGTATAATTAACTGTAAGCAGTTTCATTGTTTAATTGAGTCATTAGAAAAATTAGACTGGAAATTAAAATGAATTATTTTAGTAAATTATCCTTTCTAGATGGGTTTAATTTTAATCTTTTAGTCTGTACCCTTCCTTGTGATTATCATCCAGTGAGCAGTGTTGTTTTTAAAACCTCCAGAGTGAAATATAAAAAATCAGATTTTTTTTTTCATATTAAGAGTGTAAAGAAGGCACTTAGTATCTTAGTTAAACCACATTTAATTTATTTTTTAAAAATCAGGGAATGTTTTACTGGGCGGAGTACCTTTTCATTATTGTGAATTCTAGATGTTGGTGCGATTTTTATCAAGATGAGAATGTCAGTGGAACGCTCAGAATTATCTATTTAATTAAAAACTTTCTTTTCAAGTACAATTCAAACATAATACCTTTCAACTAATATGTCTTCTTTTTTGAAGTTTAGTATGATTACAGCAGGTTTCTTTTATGATTATGGGCTTCTCTTAAATATTTATTTTTGGCATGTATGACATAACATATTTTAACAGTTTGGCCTTAGTACAGTTTACACTGAGATGGGACATGGAGAGTGGGGCTTGCCCAACCCGAGAATCAACGTTTGTCCTTTCTCTTTTTTCTTATTTTCCCTATACCTCACTTTTTGTAATCCATGTATTTATAATCTGAGTTTTTTAAATTTATAGTCAGGCTGACTTATAATCAGGCTATTTGCGGCTAGTTTTTTTGGAGTAAGGGGTCCATTTTTTAAAAACCAGTATAAGTAAAATTTTGTAGATTTCTAATAAGAAAATATGGAGAAAGAAATTATGCATGGACGTATACTCCCCCACTTAAAAATGTTTTCCCCCATTTCTAATTTGTCCTGGAAACATAACTTACCATGTCACTTCTGAGCCCAAATTTTCATCTACACTGTTACACAATGTATATAAAGTGATGAGAAATTACTCAGAGTACAATGAGCAAAATACATTTATGGGTTTGGCATGGGGTCAAGAGATTTTGCTCTGATTTATAGTCACTTCTTACAGAGCCCTCTTGGACTTAGCCTCAACTTTCCAAAGACCTTGGAGAGATTGGAAGAATTCTCCTAAAGTCTTTGGTCTTCCTGTGGTGACCCTAAAACTCTGATTTGTTCTTCAAATGGACAGCCTGTTATCTGCAAACTGACCTGTTGTCTGGTTTCTTCAGAATTTGATATACTTGGCCAAAACCTCAAGGGCACACAAACTATCAATACGTTTCACATAACTATAGTTCATAAAAACCATTAGAATTACATTATCAGCTCACTTGCCTGAAATTTCCAACTGTTTAGAGAAAAATATTGCATTTGAAGAAAGAAAGCCTGGTGCATATAAAAACAGTGGGATGAATAACAGTTAAGAATCAAGAAGACTCAAGTAAGATAGTCCATTTGTAGTTTAGTCGCTAAGTCGTGTCTGACTCTTTGTACCCCATGGACTGTAGCCCACCATGCTCCTCAGTCTGTGGGATTTCCCAGGCAAGAATACTGGAGTGGGTTGCCATTTCCTTCTCTAGGGGATCTTCCCAACCCAGGGATTGAACCTGCATCTCATGCATTGGCAGGCGGCTTCTTTACCACTGAGCCACCAGGAAAACAAAATAGTCCATTATTACCACATAAACTTTTCAAGACTAACTCCACCCTAAATCACTGCAGAATGTAATCAGGATAGACATACTCTTGAGCCTTGATACACCAGCATATACATAATAAGATACATTTCAAAGAAAGAGTAATACATAGAAGAGCTGTCCTAACACAGTGACTTTGATGTGGA